ATTACAAAAATCTAGGGAATTTTTATAGATGGGTACAATAAAGGAAGGTGAAGATCAACTTGCAGAAAGAAGACATCAAGAAGAGATGATATGAATATGCTGGATAAATTGTACAAACAAAGAAAAATGAAATTACATGGCCCCATAAAGTACTGCTAACACCAAAGTTGCAGGAGTTGATGGAACACCATCAGAACTGTTTAAAATCTTATATAATGATGCAGGTAAAGTACAGTTTGTAAGCAGGTTGTGGACAACATTGATTTTACAAAGGCTTTTGACTATGCAGACCACAGCAAATTGTGGTTCACACAGTCAACCTCCCATGACACTCTATAGCAGACCTCAGAGTGACTTTTTCAGAAACACAATTCTCCAAAATTACACTCAGCAGTTCTGAGATCACAACCACCTGTTTTTTTAGCAACCTGGGATGTAATCCATCTGGTTCCAGAGACTTAGATTCATTCAGAGCAGCTAGGAGTTCTCTCACCAATCTCTTACTATTTTAACCTGTGTTTCTTTTCTAACCCCCAACGTGTGGCTTCTGTCAGATTGGGCACCTTTTTCTTTTTGCAAGAAGACAGATCCAAAACAGGAATTAAGCAGTCCAGTCTTCTCTCAATTGTCTGTCGCATCCTGCCATCTTCCCCAATCACCAGAATGCTTTGACTTTCATCTTCTTTCACACATACCTAAAGAACTTTTTTGGGGGGGGGGGGTTATTTTTCGGCATTCATTGCAAGCCTCAACTCATTCTGATCCTTAGCCTTCCTGACCCTACTCTTAGAGATTTGGGCTATTTTCTGATATTTTGCTTTTGTTATACAGGTAGTTCCCAGATTAAGAATGAGCTCTGTTCCCAAGGTCTGTCCTTAAGTCAAATTTGTATGTTATCCAGAACAGTATTATTATATAATAATGTATAAGTCCTATTGTGTAATTAACTCGAACCATTGTGTATTTAATCTGAATCATTGTGTATTTAACTCAAATTTTGCTACAATAGGCTCAGTTTTAAACTTGAGTCTGTAAACCAGGTGTTCTTAACCCTGGGACTACCTGTATGTCCCTCTCTCAATTTTTTAATCTTGTCCTTTTTGTTTCTCAGCTCATCAGACAGCTCTTTATGCAACCATACTGGTTTCACTGGTTGCCTTCCATTTTTGTTTCTCTTTGATACTGTTTGTGTTTGGCTCTTAATTATCCCATTTTGGGGGGAATTTCTGAACCCGCCTGAACTTCAATATTTTCATCCATGGAATCTTTCCTATTTTTCCCCTTAGCTTACTGAAGTCAGTTATCTTGAAATCTAGAACACTCAAATGAAACTCAAACTTCAAACACTCAAACTTCAGGAAAAGCAGGTGGAGGAATTTTGTATAACAATGTTCTCATGGACACATCATAATCTTGTCTATTTTATGCCAGCTGCTCATATGCTCTGCAAGGACAGCAGAACTGTTAAAATGCCTATGTGCTGCTAGAATCAAGTACCTCCTTGAGAGCCCTTGGGATTTCCTGTAACTTCTATTTAAAATGCTACTGTTACAACCTCATAGAGTTGTAGGAACATGAAATTATTTTGTGCAATAGACACCAGCATCCCTATGGTCCTTCTTGCCTGTGGCAGAATTGTGTCACTTCCTGAGAGCAACTGAAACATAAGGAGCATCACCTTAAGTACTAGTGGAGGGAATCTCTTGAATATGAATATACACAGAATGGGCACTGTTCTACATTGTGTTGTCTCTCTCTCAGGGTTTTGTGGAGGGCATATTGAGCAATTCATTCATCATGATCATTTAATATTGTTCTTTGCAGATAAAGATAATAACTGTACAAAATATTTGTCCTGTTATTTTGGATGCTTTTCAGTTTAGGGACTGGAGGAGGGAGGACACAATATGGTGTTGGAATGGCAGCTCTTTAATGAACTCTGTGTAACCTTTTATTCATTTTACTTGCTTTATTTGTTTATTCTGCTGAGAAAGGCCAGAAAATAGTCTAATCTGTAGCTCCGTCACTGAACCAGGGAATGACAAAAACTGGGAAAATAAAGACAAAAACTTCTGGGAAAGAGAAAGAAAAGACAAAGAACAAGTCTTTATGCATCAAACTTACACAAAGGTTACAACGTGGATGACTACCTGCTGAAATGTGTAAGTAAAGCCAAGATTGTACATTCTATATGTATTTTTATTAACATAAATGATCTATCAGTTGTGATTTGGAAATAGAACCCAGAAAACAACTTTAGAGCTCTTTTCCTCCCACAGGTTGAAGTTGAGCATAGAAAGCTTTCTTACCTTCCCAGAGCTCCCTTTCTGATATAGCTGACTTTCTTGACACAGGCCAAGATGATCACCTTACAAAAGAATTTATGGCTGACTTAGTGGCTAGGCCATGTCTGCTAAAAGCACACACCAATAATTTTTACCTTGAGAATAAAATGAACTCCCTAAGAATTTGAGGCATTTGCACAAAGTCAACCAGACAGTCTGATTCCATTTGTAAAAACTCATGATACTGAACTAAAACAGGAGTAGCCTGCTGCTACTTTTGAAAAGCAAAACAACACCCTGTTTTCTAAGAATGTGTCCCAGGTACACTTCAATTCTCCAACACTGTTCCCTAAGGGAGGGTTTAGTCAAGAGTACTTGTAACTCCAAAATAACCAGACTGAGCATTATTCTAGAAAAAGAATTGGGAATCTAAGAAAGCCACCATTCTGTCCTTGAGCCAACTTCTTTATTAACGGTCCTCCTAGTAAATCTGCACATAGTCAAATGGTTCCAAGTGCAGCAGGCAGCAGAGTGATTTTATGCCTTTGTCATCAGTCAACAATACCTTCTATGTTACAAAAAATGAAATCTTTCTTACACATTTTTAGATATTTCCCATCCAGGTTTTCTATGACAAAAAGTATATCCTCTTTTTAAAGTTCTATCCCAAGCTGGACTTGATTCCATGAGAACTAAAGGCAATCTACCAATGCCAACTCCTACTGTTCTTTGCAGTCCAATACCCACACAATTCTACAGAAATAAGTCCAGACAAAAAGAATTCACAGGAGGCATTTGGCACTGGTCTGGTTAACCCCTTTGTAGTATTACCAGATCATGAACAGGAAGAAATCCTGAGAAGACTGGATGGCCTCAAACAAACACTTTTGGCTAACCCAGCCAATGCTTTCAGACATATAATATCCAGAGTCTGAAGTTATGCTTCACTCTAACTTGACCAAGATTCTACACTGGAAAGCAAGGCCAAAATACACAGGCATCTCAAGATATACCATCTGGATGATCCTAGAGATTCTGTCCCAGTTTATCAAAATTTGGGGTTGTTGTCAGTTAATAACCCTTATTTTGAGGATCTTATTAAACTAACCCCAACAGCATGCAGCCCTGCAACTTGGCAGGATCACTCCCTGTCTACTGAAAAGCCTAAAGATAGAGAAAAGGATTTGGTAGCCTCTGCCTATAATTTCTCTTATCAGAAAGTCAAACAATGTAGAGGAGGAATCCATGACCTAGTAAAACCCTGGCACAGCCACAATCCCATCTTTAAGAGATCTCTTCTGCACAAGACACTCCCTTGGAGGGAGATAATAGCCTCCAAGGCTCAATTTGACAAAACTGTAAACTTCCCAAAGGAAGATCAAGCTGGAGGAATTCAATTGTTTGATTTAAAATGATACTTGCCTCCTGCTCAAGACCCTATAACCCTTATTTCTTGGAATACTACCAGATGAAACAATAGGAGAAATGATGCTGCCTTTGCAAATGTCTTATCCAAATATGATATAATTTTAATGCAGGAAACCTGGTTGGCAGAAGGCCTTACCTTCCATGGTTACATCAATTGCAAAACCAACTCCAACATCCAGAGGGAGGATGTTACTGCTCCTTGCTATCTAAAGAAGCAGTTGATAATAGTTTAATAATAGACTGAATGAGGATGAGTAAGTTGAATGAAATTGACACGTATACAAATGGCAGGAGGGCCTGGATACCCTGCTTTGGGTTTAATTGTATACTAGATAGGGTTGTGCTCTCCTGAAAAAGCAGACCTGCAGTTTCAGCTTTGAGCAAGAACTACATTTGCACAACTATATCTAAGTATGCCAACTGGGACTGTTATTAAGCGAGTCACATCTGGCAATAGGTATTTGAATATTGCCTACATAATAGTTAGATTATGGGTAGGTTGTGCCTCCCTATCTGAATCTTTACTCCCTTATCTTATCCAACTTGCTGAGATTGGTGATACCAATTCAACCACTGGGCCAGATTTAATCTCCAATTCTTGCTTCAACTGTCAAGAACTCCTACAGAAGATCTTGAAATGGCAGTTAGGCAAACTGTATTCTTTGAGCTACCAGTATACAGTGCTTTACTTACTGACTTCTCACTGTTTTCACATCTTTCACTCTATATACAATAGTTTGAAAGTCAATTCACAGACATTTCAGAATAATAATGGCAGCTGCATTATTTAACTGTATTTTTTTTTATGCTCTGGCATTAAATTAAATTTCTTAGCATCAGACACCGCACTTTGATGGATTCTAATTTGACAGCCAGCAAGTGTAAAATGGATCCAAGCACTGACTCAGCTTCAGATTCAATTCAAATATATCACTTCTACCGTCACTAATTTTCTTTCAATCAAATATGTTCTGCATATTTTCCATCTTAATGCCAGAAATTATTTCAATATACTTCAGAACTCTTCCAGCTAGTCATTCTGATGTTTCTGGAGCCAAACTGGACAAAAAGTGGGGAGGCTATAGACCCAAACACTTATATTGAAAAGATGAAGAAATTTTCCAGAAAAGGTTCAACTTGAATTAATTGTGTTCTTAAAAAATCCACAAAAATGTAGCTTCATATCTGAATAAAAGAAAAAACCTTTTAATTTAACAGCTCCTAAAACATTTAAGAACATAATATGAATTCTTTATGGATTTGTGCAGAGCTGAAAAATGAAATTACCTTCTTTCAGGAAATCAGTTATATCAGCTTGGTATCTGTTCCCAACCCTGATCTCTCCTTTATCAGCTAGAAGAGTCTTCTGTTGTGGATCATACACTAGTGAATAAAAAAAGAAGTCCTAGAAATAAAAAAGGACAGTAACTTCTCTTATTATTCCTGCAACTTTGATTCAAAATAAATCCTCTTCTAACTCTTCTTTTATAATCAAAATTAGAACTGGAAGCCAGGAAGGTAAGATTAAATGTATCAAGTCTGTAACAGTGAAAAAGTAAACATTTTTTTCAGAGAGCATTTTTCTAGACAGAAGTGCATAGTTATAATGTATAAAAATATTGGGAACTTTAGTAATGTAGTATTCAAAGCAAAATTTAAGTTGCTTAAATGGAAGGCTGAAAGCCAGCATACAAATTTAGTATTCTCAAAATTGCTAGTTCTGTGTTTAGAGCTGAGGAATCTCAATGCAAGAAAGAAACTGTAGTATTGTTAGGTATTTAGCTTGCTAGACAAACAAGACCATTTGGGCAAACTGAATCTATAAGAAAAGCTGACAGGAGCCAGGGAGCACTTGATTTGGAATGAAGCATCTCCTAGGGTATAAATGTTCTAGATCATACAAATGGGAGTAGGATACAGATAGTACATGGCAGACAGTCGAAGAAAGTAAAGTTCTGTAGGGAAAAATAAGAATGCTTCTTAGAAAAGAACACAATGAACAAGTGTTTAAAAGTGAATGAAATGGGATTCTGTGTCAAGCTAGGGAATGTAAAGATTGATTGTAGATTGTACCATATATAAAGAAAATTCGTAAAGAAATACAGAGTGAAAGAACTGAGCTGCTTTAAAATTGGACTTTTGGCTTAAATGGCCTCTAGGATTCCATGTTTTATGAGAAAAAAGGCTCTATGTAAATCAAACAAAGTAACTGAATATATTAGACCACTGTGTTTATAAGAGTAATACTTCTTTTGGAATTCTTATTTTTTCACAATTATATGATGTATGCATACAAGGATTTGCAGAGTTTTGGATTCAAAGACAAAAAGTTGCTTTGGAATGCATGGAGTATGAACATAGTATCTTTTAAAGAAAATATCTTTTCCCAGAAAGGCACAACCAGACATATGGATAAAATTACCCTTATGAAGTATAAACTTAATATTTTACGTAGCACAATTAATAGCACTACAAATGCTATGAATATTTGTCTGAAATTAGAAAAATGTAAGAATATGTTAATCTTACAAAATATATACAAGGCAAAGAAATGTTTGTTTGTTTATGTAAAAGTATTCTGGCAGCAACAATAAGGCTGCATTACATCTTCCTGGGAATAGGTCCAGTAGAATCCAAAGAGGCTTATTTCTGACCCAAAGTATGTCATCAGCATATGCACTTGCAAGAGAACAAGAAAAAAGTATCACTAGCTTTTGAGGAAAGGCAGTAATATTAAGTGTCAAGGAGTAAACTAATAGTGGAAGGATTTTAGGAATGCTTAACATTATTATATCAAACTAAGATGAAGAGAGAATTTTCAACTTTCTGTATTCACTGAAGCAGAAATAATTAGTAATGACCATTTTTTGATTATATGCCATCAAGTTGATATTGACTCTTAGCAACCACAGAGATAGATCTTCCCCATGATAATCTGTCCTTAACGTGGCCTTTCAGATTTCTAATGGTGCCCTCATTGCCACTGCAACTGAGTCTATCCACTTTGCTGCTGGTGGTCCTCTTCTTCTCTTTCCTTCCACCTTTCCCAGCATTTAGAGCCTTCTCTAGAGAGCTGGGTCTTCGCATAGTATCTGTATGCAGCTCTTTTAAAGAAGAGGATAATTTGTCTGAAGTAGGATAATTTGAGCCTGGTCATTTATGCCTCAAGTGAGAACTCTGGGTTGATTTGTTTGATGATCCATTTGTTTGTTTTCTTGGCTGTCCACTGTATTCTCAGGAGTCTTCTCCAACATTAAAGTTCAAAAGTGTCAATACAATTCCTATCCTGCTTCTTCAAAGTCCAACTTTCGCTTAGAGTGTCACAGGTAATACCTTGCTTGCACAATTCTGATCTTTTTAGGTATAGACACATCACAGCATTTAAATATCTTTCCCAAGGCCTTCATGGCTTCAGCATATTTCTTGACTGCTTGTTCCTTTACTGCTGATGGCTGATCCTAAAAGGCAGAAGCTATCTACCACTTCAATATCTTCACTGTCAATATAACCAGTAAAATATAACCCATTTAAAATTAAATATTAATTTTGTTTCCAGCAGCACTTTATACAAACTTTTATCAATATTTTGCTACAAAATATTTTAAAGTATCTAGTTTATTATAAAAATAACAGATTCTTGGCATGATGTAAGCATAATCCTTCTATATAAAATTGGTTTATGTACATACTTTGGGTAGAAAGATAAAAGTTCTGCTTTACTAAACATATCAACCCATATGATATTTAAAATATGGTCTTAATCAATTAATCTTCATTATTACAATCACTGACCGGCAAATGGAATAATCAACTTCATAAAATGAATAAAAGAACAAAGTCATTAAACCATGGTATTTATGGAAACATCAACATTATTTAGAAAAGACAATAAAAATGCCTTAATGTCTAAGTCATTTCTTGCAAATGACATTTACTACACTGCAATAAGTACAGATACCAGGATATTAAAAGTACAATATAAATGCTAAAGCAAAATGACATTAATAAAAAAACTTTAAGAGTAAAATACTCAAATTCTACCTATTGTATGTTAGACTATCGACTGAATATACATATATATCAGTCTGTGTCTATATAAATGCATACAAGTAAAATTATATATTGGTCAGTGACAAATAAGACAAAGCTATCTCTCTCAGCTGGCCTTTTGGCCTCCAGCTTCCTTTTCAATAGAGCATTACAGGTAGTCCTTGAGTTACGACCATTCGTTCAGCGACTGTTTGAAGTTATAATGATGCTGAACAAAGGGACTTACAACCAGTCCTTGAAGTTCTGGCCACTGCAGTGCCCCCATGGTCACATGAATAAAATTCGGGTGTCTGGCAACCAGCTCGCACTTACAACCAGTTGCAGCATCTCATGGTAACGCGATTACCATTTGTGCCCTTCCCTGCTGGGTTCCCCCAAGCAAAGTCAATGGGAAGCCAGCAAGGAAGATTGCAAGTTGCTAGGGTAAGTCTTTTCACCCCGCCCAGCCTTTCTTCACTCACATGCACCGTACCCTCCTTCCTCCCTTCACTCACACACACCTCATACCGTCTTTCCCCAGCTTTTCTGTGCTCACACACATGCATGCACAAACTCCATGCCCTCTTTCCATGGCCTCCCTGCAATTGCACGCACCCCACACCCTCCCTCTTTCCTCTGCTTTCCTGCGATCAGACACATAAATGCACATACCCTGCACCCTCTTCCACGGCCTCCCTGCGATCACACCCACCCTGTGCCTTCTTTCCTCAGCCTCCCTGCAATTGCACATGCGCACGCATGCACCCTTGTGCCCTCTTTCCACAGCCTCCCTGCAATCACACACACGTACCCTGTGCCCTCTTTCCCTGGCCACCCTGCAACTGTACGCACGCATGACCCTGCACTCTTTCCAAGGTACCCTACTGAACAATTGATCATGATAGGCAGAGAACACAGTAAGACAGACACTTTCACAGTGAAATCTAATAATTGTTGTCCAAAAATTATTGAACAAATTGATTTAGATAATATCTCTCACTGGAGAGGGACAGAATAAAAATGTTAGGGATCTGACAGATAAAATGTTGTAACACCTGTTTAGATCAAAAGTGTAATTAAATGAAAAGATATAATAAAACTTGTGAGAAAAAATATTTTCTGTAGTCTTATATTTAAACAGTAAACTTGGAGAATGTCTTCCTAGAAATTCAGTATTTGGCTAATTTCCTAACTGAATTTTTCTATATAGTGTATTTTTACATTTATGAGAATCAACACTTTAAGTTAACTGGTTAAGACACCAAGGCAAAGTTTTTTAAATGTTTCATTAAGGTGTTATACAGGTAGTCCTTGTTTAGTAAGCACAACTGGGACCAGCAACTTGGTTGTTAAGCAAAGCGGTCGCTAAGTGAAACCATGACTGTGCTTGCAATCTCATTTCAGCTTTGCTTTACAGACCTGAGAACATCATAAATGCGAGGATTGGTTGCAAAGTTACTTTTTCATCAGTGTCGTAACTGCAAATGGTTTTTGGACAAGGCAGTCGCTAAACGAGGACTATCTATAACACCTTTTCAAAACTGAGTACTTGAAACTTAGAAAACAATATTTGAAGTTTATATCAGGACCTGAAATTTTTCATAACAGAGATGCCTAGGAAATACTGTTTTTTAGGTAACTTCTTAAAATTTATCAGTAAGAAACTATATGTCATATTCTGATATCAGGGTATAGCAGTTCCTTTGTGTATGTTTGTGTGTGTGTGTGTAGAGCATGTGTGTGTGTGTGTGTGCACGCGCGTGTAAAATATGGATTCAAAGGTACCTGTAATTACTATTGAAACTATTAGAATAATTTCTAAATTGCAACTTACCAATTGAATCAATGGATTCTTTGTACGAAATGAAGTCAACTGTTATACAAAATCTGATGAACAGTGGTAGTCATTGTAATGAATGCCAGGACCCAGGTCTACACTTTTAAGATCCTATGCCTTTATGGAGCTGTGGAATCTTAGAGGAAACGTCAAGCCCAGTATTTGATTAAGGTCAACATTTAGATAAACTCAGACAAAATGCAAACAGCAGGCAGTATACACTATATAGTGCATAACGTAATACTTTAAAAAATATTCAATGTTTAAGTAAGCTCATACCTCACATTCTAGATAGGATTTAAGAGATTCTGTTTCATTTAATAAAGTAACACTGCATTTGCCTCTAAAAAGAAAAAGAAAAAGATCAGAGTTAGAGTAATTTCTGACTATTGCTTCTCCGCATGTATCACATAACAAAGCTCTCCAAGTGGAGTTCATGTCCTAATATGGAAGTGTTTTTTTTTCAAATGTCTTGCTTAGAGAGCTAGCATTTCCTGGTGGTTTCTTATTCAAGTACTAACCAAATCCAACCATCCCTGGTTTAATATAATACAATCAAGGTTAAATATGATTATGCTCATTTACTTAGACTATACCTAATGTGAGTGGCTGGCAAAGATTCCAACTGCCGTGAGAGAAACAGTTCTCGATGTCGCAACTGGTGTTTCTGTTTCTCAGGTAAATCCATCATTTCTGGGTTTTCCATCTCTTCTTCCATTTCTCCTAAATGATACAGAAAACATTAAAAATGAGATAAACTGTACTTCTTGAATCAGCTGAAATGCACTCGGAGAGATCAGTACAGATATCTATTAATAATAATGAATAAGTATGTATCAGTACAGGCTAGCTATTAATGATGATGAATAAGTACCTATGAAGAATTGTAGATCTGTTCCATGTCCATCTAGTTTAGTATTCTGTTCCTACCATGACCACTTCCACCATGGCCAAACACTTATGATATATCCAGAACAAGACAGGAGTGCAATAAGAGCACTTTTTGCTCATGATTCTTTGTAGCAGTTATTTAAGGTAATACAACTTCAAACAGAGGAGACAGTATATGGCCAACATAACTAGTAGCCTTTGAAAAACTTATCTCCATTTCATCTAATCCCCTTAAGCATTCAAGTTATGGCTACACCAATAAATTACTGTATGTATATAATTTATACATGTAGCGCAATTCAAGGAGGCAGGAAACATTTTCTCTACTAATAGGGAGAAAGGATGGCCAAGTCAGATGCTAGGTGAGGCAACCTTCTGGAAGATAGGTGGAGGCAGCAATAACTATCAAACAGATACACCAAGGCAGAAAAACAAGCCGGCGTATGTCAACACAGAAGGCTTCTGGGAAAGGAAACTTCAAACCTCCAATCTTGAAAAAATGGGTTGAAAGTAATGGAATCATTATTTTTACACTGCCAGAGTTACATGACAGCCAATTGTTTTCATACCTGAAAGAGGTTTTATTTGGGAAGACTCCCTCCCTCCCTCTTTCTTTCCCTCTCCCTCTCCCTCTCTTTCTTTCTTTCTTTCTTTCTGAGAGAGAGGTTTGGTGATTTGTAAAGATGGAAAGATTTGTAAAAGTTGATGAAGAACAAAATGGGAGATATGGAGAATCCAGTTAATATCCAGGAATGGAAATGTGGCACTGGGGAGAGAAAGAAAGAGTTGAGGAGAGAAAAGGAGAATGCCAGAGAAATTAGAGCACAATATTAGCAGGGGGTAGAAAGCTAGTTAGTCACTGTGCTATAGCAGCAAGGCAGGCAGAGATGGAGGGCCACTGTAGCTCCCATCCACATGCCATCATCACCAGTGCTTGGGATGGGATGAGACTGCTGCTGCTGCCATTGGGAAACCAGGCAGCTAATAGAAAATGGTCAGTGAAACCACTGGAGACTAACAGATTAGTGGAGGTAGAAAACAACGTCTGGCTTGTCTCCTGTTCTGGCACGGAGTCTGGAAATTTGCATAGCATGGCTAACTCAAGATCAGTTGGGTATGTGGGTGCTGTGGCCACCACTGACGATGCTGCTTAGCTGGCACCTATGGCCATGCAGGAGGACCACCTATAAGAAGAGGAAGAGTTTCTGCCTGTTGTGGCTGCCCACTACTCACTATAGGTATACATATGGACTTGCTGGTGAGCAGTGTTGATTAAAAGGAGAGTTAATCATTCTCTGGGTAAGGAAAAGAAAAAGGAAGTGGAGGCCCTTTACCTGAACTGAGAGTGCAGAAAGAAAAAGGCATCCTTAACCCAAGGACCATAATGGGAGGAGGGTCTGTGAGGAAAGGGAAATGCTAACAGAAAGTTGGCAATTGTAGCTGGGAATTAAGTAGAGTGTGGGTGGATGGGCAGAAATGGGATGTTGTGGGGGGGATTTTTGTTATGACGTAAAATAAACTTTATTATGGACTCAGACCAGACTCTCTCTCTCTCTCCATACATACATATATACACAGTATATAAACATACACACACACACACAATACATAAAATATACCTAAAATCTCCCATAATTCATTAAAACAACAATAAAAGGAAAAAAAGGAAAAAAAGGAAAAAAAGTGAGGTTTGGGGTGAAAATTAAAGATATAGAAGGAATGCAGTTGCATTATACAATATTTGCTGCCTTGTTCTCATAGCCAGATAGAATGTGGCTACACTGTGAATAACATTGCTCTTCTGGTCTGCCAGGAGAAAGAAGGTACAGTGGGGCAAAAAAGTATTTAGTCAGCCACCAATTGTGCAAGTTCTCTTCTTTAAAAATCAGACAATGTGATTTTCTGGATTTTTTTCCCCATTTTGTTCTTTAAAAATCAGACAATGTGATTTTCTGGATTTTTTTCCCCATTTTGTTCTTTAAAAATCAGACAATGTGATTTTCTGGATTTTTTTCCCCATTTTGTTCTTTAAAAATCAGACAATGTGATTTTCTGGATTTTTTTCCCCATTTTGTTCTTTAAAAATCAGACAATGTGATTTTCTGGATTTTTTTCCCCATTTTGTTCTTTAAAAATCAGACAATGTGATTTTCTGGATTTTTTTCCCCATTTTGTTCTTTAAAAATCAGACAATGTGATTTTCTGGATTTTTTTCCCCATTTTGTTCTTTAAAAATCAGACAATGTGATTTTCTGGATTTTTTTCCCCATTTTGTTCTTTAAAAATCAGACAATGTGATTTTCTGGATTTTTTTCCCCATTTTGTTCTTTAAAAATCAGACAATGTGATTTTCTGGATTTTTTTCCCCATTTTGTTCTTTAAAAATCAGACAATGTGATTTTCTGGATTTTTTTCCCCATTTTGTTCTTTAAAAATCAGACAATGTGATTTTCTGGATTTTTTTCCCCATTTTGTTCTTTAAAAATCAGACAATGTGATTTTCTGGATTTTTTTCCCCATTTTGTTCTTTAAAAATCAGACAATGTGATTTTCTGGATTTTTTTCCCCATTTTGTCTCTCATAGTTGAGGTAAAGCTATGATGAAAATTACAGGCCTCTCTCATCTTTTTAAGTGGGAGAACTTGCACAATTGGTGGCTGACTAAATACTTTTTTGCCCCACTGTATACCATTCATAAAAGCTTATCCAGAACTATGGTGCTTGAGGAAATTTTTGGTTTATTTAATTAATCCCATTTTCTGGGCTTATCTGAAATACTGAATTACAGAACCTTTCACATTTTCTTAATTGTACAACATGCTAACCTTAAATGTGATTGGCTAGTTTAAATTATTTGTATTTATATCTGTAGAAATGTATTGTGTCAATGCAGCCTTTAAGTACATTGTATAAATTTAATCTCATTGTATAAACCCTGGAATAGGATAGTCTGACCTATAAGAAAGGATGGCAGCTGGAATTTTGCAAACCTGATTTTGGTTCAAAGGCTAGCTAAAAAATAATCTGAGGCCTGTGAGAGAAAGAAAATGACCAGTTTGTTATGCCATAAGCTCCTTAGAATGATGAGGTGACAGACAAATTAAAATCTGTCTTCCTTTCAGTGTAGGTCATAAGTCTACTACTAATTCTTTGGGGGGCAGGGGGGGAGAAAGAAAGAAAATAGGGTGTTTTTTTTTTACCAAAGATGAGATGCATGTATAACTCACCAAAGAGATCATTAGTCTATTGACACAATAGGACTGGTTTGAATAACAGAATACCTTTCCTCTTGGGGACACAACAGACATTTTTGACTCTGCCTGCTAATACAAGGAGGAAAGTTAGTCCTGAAGAGTAAAAGAATCCAAATGACCTTCATACATCCTGGGAAAAAGAAATATTTGTATCTCAATTTGTAGTTCTTAGTGATATAAACAAACCCTTGGCTAAATGAGCTGCTTTAAATGTCACTAGCGCCATAACATAAGAGTCCTTTCTATTGCAGTCCTTAAAACAAAATCAACATTTTACAAATTAATGTAAATATCACATGATTTATTAGTAATGAAAACACTTACTTGCATGTTTGTCAGCCAATACAATTAAAGTGTTTGAAATATCCCTACGTCTATAGAAACACACCACCTTTGCCTCCACATTTCCATTGGCTGTCTGTAATAGTGAAAAAACAGTAGCAATAAAAATCAAGTTAAAATACCACTTCAGTTTCAGTGGGATTCCATTATTAAAGCAAGAAAGCAGAAATAATTTAAAGGCATTTCCAGAGGTTTGCAAGCAAAATGGTACATATTTAGCAGTTAGGTGACACCAGTCTAGCCAACTTGAAAGAAAAAACATTGAGACGTGCATTAACAACGTAATATGAGATAGGGCATCATGGTAAATTCATGTAATTTTTTTCTGTATTTGTTTTATACTGTAATAGTTATACTGCTGAAACAGAATTCAGTATAAGTTAATAAATGTCTTTGAGCTATATACTGTCACTATACTATGATTTAACTTTATGAAGAATCAAAAAGTTTATCTTCAATTTCTCTGTCATTTTCTCATCTCCTTTTAAGGAATTACCAAACTCCTTATTGAATTCTGTTTAATAAGCATCTGCCAAAAATGTAGCTCAAACTATACAATATTTGACTCTAAAATGTGCTTAGTTTCAGTCTGGAAAAAAAAAACTAAGCTAATCATCTTTGCAAACTGAATGATTGCAAAATTGAAATGACACCCAATAGCTAAGCATGAAAAAAAAGTATGAAAGGAATTTAACCCTTGTTATCAGACAATCTCCCATAAAATAATTCTTAAAAAATTGAATTACTGCTTGTGTTTGTTTGGATTTTGCTGTTCCTATATATTTATAAAATAGCAAGAGGCTGTTTCTGAAGGGATCTTTCAAGTCCAAGTTGCTAATAAACAAATCTTAAAAAAATGTCTAATACCTAATCATTACTACTTTTAATATCAAGATGTTCCCTCAAAGAATAAAAACCAGGTAACAAAACAGTTGTATCTTTTAAAACATCATGGAATGCTAACTGGGTGGAGGCCATCCAAATCTCAGGGGGAATGGTTTCCATATGGCAAGCACTGCAACAGAGAAGGCAGGCCTCTTGGGTCTCGCTAGATGACTCTGCTTCAAAGAAGGGACCTGGAGCTTGCCCATCCTGTTGGATCTGGTGGGATGAGTAGAAATGGTTGGAGACAAGCATGAATTACCTGGTCATGAGTCATGTAGAACTTTATAGGTGACAACCAACACCTTGAATTGCACACAGAAGACCACTGGGAGCCAGTACGGTGATTAAGGTGTAAGTGACCATGTTTTTTTTTTTAAACATAAGTACACTATGCAATTCAAGCTGTCACATTCAGAAGTACATCGTCTTGGAAAAGTTGTAACAACAAATATTCTTATTCTCACCCATGGTAGATTTATATAGTGCTAGCAGCTCTTTGGAATTCAGTGTTTTAAGAAACACTTGTTTGTGAATAACAGCCTGCATTCACAACACTTGCCAGCCCTTTGAGGTAGGCCAGGCCAGGGGATAACATAAGGGTTACTGGAACTCTGCTTTGTTGTTTAAGGAATAATAACAGACTCTTGAAAGCCAATCAGTTTCCCTCTATCCTCTCTCGTACCAAACAGAATCAAGTCAGGGTTATCTAGAGTTTCTTTCTCACCCCCTTTTCCTTCCTAGGGCTAAACTGATGTTTATTTAACAGTTCTTGTATTTCAAGGTTATCTCTACACTCCTCTACAATATTGCAAACTGTGACAGACTCATGCCAGATGGTAAATTAATATTCACTCTGTGAAAGGTAGGATCTGAAATCATATACAGCTTATCCAAGCTTCTCTCTCTTTACTAGAGACAGGAAAATCAGAATCCTTTTAAACAAAAGAAGCTGTAGACAGAAGCTGGGAAAAGGACTGGGATTCTATCTTCCTGAGAAAGTGGGAAGTCCAGGAATAATTGAGAATAATTGTTTCAGGAAATTTCTGTCTGAAAAAATAGGTAAAAACATTTAACTAGGAATATTGTGCTAAGTATAATCTTTTTTTTGTTATGCTGGGCTAAAGACTTCAGATTGGTTTTTTTTTTTTAATTCTCCGTACAAGCTCATTAACTGTATATTTCATTTTTATGCTGAATGTATATGAGGTTGTGCTTTAGAATTCTGATCTGTAATAATGAATGTGAAGATTTCTCTACTATCTATCTTTAGATCCTGAGAGAATGCCCATTTGTAGCAGACAAGCAGCATTTTTCATACTTTTTCTTAATCTATTCAAGCTGTTAGTTCCCCATAATCTTGGTGACATTCCTCTAAGCTATATGGCTAAGACTTTACAATATAGAAATTGTTTCAATATTTTTGTTTTTGATATTTTAATCATCAGAAAGACAGCACAGGTTGTGAGAGCTATCTCTTACACACATAGCAGGGATGGGAGGAGGACACCCCAGAAAATAGGCTGTAGCAGTGAGAACTATCAAGCTTCTACCCTAATGCAAGAGGTGGGGCCAGAGTGTGAAGAGGCTTTCTGCAAGAGGATGTTTGAGACATCCTATTTTCCATCTTATGGGTTCAATCCTTCTGTTATATGGGGCAAACATGGGGACAACTAGAGGGTAGCTCACAGTAATTTTATTAAAGATGATAATTACAACAATTAGTTGTACAACTAATACAAACTAAAAAAAAGACAGAATAAAAAGAAAGAGTAAAAGGTGCAGAAAAGAAAAAAAGGAAAAAATAGAGAAACAGAAAAGTTAAGACTATAGTAAGCAAATATATATATATGTGTGTGTGTGTGTGTGTGTGTGTGTGTGTGACTTCCCACAAGTATAAACAATTTTATTGTTAACTTATCACTTCCTCTTAAAATACAATAAATGATCTCTTCTTCCCATATTCCATCTCTTATCTATAAACTCCATAAGGCATTGTCATTTCAGTCCTGGCGTCAGCAAAAGTCCATTAATGGTTACCAGGGATGACAACATATCTATTTTAACCTCAATCAAATAAACCAACTTTATATTCCTTCCTTTTCTTGTAACAATCTTAATCTTTAGTTCAGATAATGTCATAGAACTTGATTTCTTTTAATTTTTTCTTTGTCCCTTCTCATGAGATTCTTCAAAAAATATAGGAAAATTATCCAGGTCATTCTCTTGGTTTATTGTTTGTTATCCCTTTTAATTATTAAGAAATCAGCCGGTTTCTTTTGTATGTCCAGTGTAACATTTTTTTCCATGTCATTCTTGTGACCTGTCATTTGTAAATCCACTTTCAACTCGGTCTCGATCTTGTCAGGTAGAACGTCCTCCATGACATCTCTTAGACACAATCTTTCCATAGAGGCATATGTTTCTGTTGACACTATTAAAATTAACTTCTGAGTCCATTGTTCAAAAATATCCTTCAATATGTCCAATGTTAGAATATTTTGCTTCATTCTGTAACTGTAAGTCAAGTTTATGTGTTCTTCTCCTTTAATTGTAATCTTTAGTTCCCTCTAGTGTCCAATTAACTTCTGAGTCCATTGTTCAAAAATATCCTTCAATATGTCCAATGTTAGAATATTTTGCTTCATTCTGTAACTGTAAGTCAAGTTTATGTGTTCTTCTCCTTTAATTGTAATCTTTAGTTCCCTCTAGTGTCCAATTAACTTCTGAGTCCATTGTTCAAAAATATCCTTCAATACAGGTAGTCCTCGACTTACGACCGGTTGTTTAACGACCATTCAAAGTTACAACAGCTTCAGAAAAGGTGTTTTATGGCCTGTAAAGCACTTCTAGCTGTCATAAAATGTCAGCCCCCCCCGTAGTCATGTGGCCGCATTTCAGGCACTTGGCAACCGGCTCGCATTTATGACCAGTTTCCAAGTGCCCCGCAATCATGTGATCGCCAATTGCACACTATTCTGCTGGCTTCCCCAGAAAGTCAATGGGGAAGCTGGCAGGGAAGGCTGCAAGCGGAGGAGATGGAGGGGAGGTGAAATCCCTCTCTGGGCTGCAGGAATGAAGCTGAAATCCTGAAGATTTCAGCTCCGTTCCTGCAGCCCCACGAAGGATTTCCCCTCCATGCAAAGAGAGGAGGAAACCCTTTGGCAGGCTGCAGGAACATCTGAGAGAGAAAGGGCTGCCTACCGGGAGGATTTCAGCTCCACATGGAACTGAAATCCTTCAACAGGCAGCTCTTTCACTCTGTCCACTTAACTACCCAGGAGATCGCTTAATGAACCAGGAGATCATTTAACAACTGTAACTGGGAGTGCCCAGATTACTGTCACTGAGCAAAGCAGTCACGTGGGCATCTCACTTAATGCCCGCTTTGCTCAACAATCGAGATTCCAGTCCCAATTGTGGTTGATAAGCAAGGACTATCTGTATAACCAGTGTTAGAATATTTTGCTCCATTCTGTAACTGTAAGTCGAGTTTGTGTGCTCTTTTCCTGTAACTGTAATCTTTAGTTCTCTCTAGTGTCCAATTTTTTAAATCTTATGTTTTTTAAAAAAATTGAAAACAAAAAAATTTTTCCACAGGAAGGATTCTTTATAATTAATTCCAAAATCTTATTTCAAATTTATCTGGACCCTTAATCCATTTGTAACTTTCTAAAATCAAAGTTTTAACCACCCTTTTGCTGTTTATTCCCCCTCCACACACAATTTTTTTAGCTTCTTAAACTTTTTTTCGCTAAGGATTGAAGGAAACTCACCCGGTTCTGTCAAACTTGTCAATCCAAAGGTTTCTAATAGCAGAAAAGCAGTTAACAAACAATTTCCAAAAGTGATTAGAAAGAAGTATGCCAACTTAGTTCCTTTCAAAGGCACCGACCATGGTTTAAGCAAGATGGCTTCCAGAGGAAGAAATGGCAGACTGAAGATGGCTCCGCAAAAAGCAGAGCTGAAGACTGCGGCAGAATGCTCTTTGATAATTCCTCTCTGGGTAAGGAGTGGATGTGAGATCATCCACAAGTTCTGTAGACAGCTGCTCCTTGTGAGGAGACTGCAAAATAATGGTCTTCAACAGGTTTAGAGCTCTGGGAGATGAGGGAAGGATAGTTTAGAGTCAAAATGTTTTTCCGTTTCTTTCAAGTTTTTTGACAGGATATTTGACCAAAAGAAAAAAGAAAAAGAAATCCAACACCAATTTTAAAAAAGTATCTGGAGCAAGAAGAAACATTAAAAATATTAGAGCTGGGGAGAGAGAAAGTGGGTAGAAGGCAAGGCTCATCATTTAGAAACGGAGAGACTGAAGAGAAGAATGGGAGAACTGGAAGCAATAGGGTAAACCTGGCAGAAAAAATACAAGAAGAAACGTCAGGGATGATTTATTGCTTTTCAGGGCTGCCTTGCTCAATTGTGTAGTTTTACTTTTGCTCACATTTCTGTTTCTCTGTACCTGTGTTTGCTGATTAAGATTTTTTTTTAAATAAAAGCAAAAATTGTTGACCTATTTCAGGAAAATAATACTTTTAAAATATAACTGATAGTTAATTCAAAACTACAGAAATAAAAGTGAACTGAAATTAATGGCAAACATGTGCAATGCCTTCAAAACCATTTACAACATTAATGTTTTACCTTATTGAGTTCTTCTATTCTGCGTATCAAATATGGATTACTTGAAGAGTTTTCAAAGTAGACATAATCTGGAAAAAAAAGATGTATTTTTGAAGCACTATATTTGAAGCTGCAGTTTAAGAAGAATATTAATACTTATATACAACATTTGTATAGAGATATATATGCATCTATTGAAAATATCATTTATTCTATCACCATTTTGATTATCCATTGCAGCAGTATTATTTTTATTCCCAATAATGTTACATTATTCAGTTCTCCTGGTCTCTCATGGACTCAAGTGGTACTGACATTTCACATCACTATCTCCCCTAACTGATAATACACTCAGAAAATAATGATCCAAAAAGATTGTTTATTTACATTATTTACATAATACAGCTTTCTCAGCCTTCACAATTTTGCCAATTTACAAACCTGCATAGGCCAGTATAGCACTGAATGAGGAGGGCTCTTTTATAGCCTGATTGAAAGGAAAATTTTCCTTTGGAGGTATCAGATATATCATTGCCAATTCGGACAAGAGCTTTGATCAAGATTCACCTATTGGCCAGGTGGCCATCTAGTCTTCCCAGAAGCTCTCCTGGTTCCTAGCAGAGGTTATATCTAAGCACCAGATCCCCATACATTCCTTCCTTCCTGCCTGCCTCTCAAGCCACTCTGACTTTATTCCTCTTGCTCTCTGTTCCCCAGCCTCATTATTGCCTCATTTGCTGACCCTGCTCATTGATCTTCCTATAACAACAAGGATCAAGTATCCCACTTCTAGGAGTTAGCAGCAAATATATATGGATATATCAGAAAACAGTCATCATCTCAAAGTATGCTTCACTTACTGAAAGCTCTGCCAAGCTATCAGCAATTGTTGACAGCCAATTAAAAACAGCTTTTTAAACATCTTCTTTCTCTAAATATTAAGTGAATGATAGTAAAAAATAATTTAAATAGGTGGACAGTAAAGCAGACATTCTCAATTGTTTTAGCCTGGTGGACATACTTGGAATTCTGAGAACATGCTGCCAGATTGCTTCCAAAAATGCTGCTGGGGGACGGGGCAATTTGCTGATTTGGAGAATGGCCGACATGCCAAATGTCATAAAATACTAGTAGTACTCCTTCTATCACTCAATGTACCCCTCCCCCAGGCCTATCCTTGTGTTTTTCAACTTATTTTATTATATTAAACTAATTAAGACATTCTCTCTCTCTCTTTTGACACACAGAAAAACACAATGCATTTCAAAATTAATATTCATTATAATTAAAAAAAGAAAGAAAAAGGGGGATGGGAAGGGGGAAAAAAGAACAGAACTCCTCCAAAAGGCAATCATATTTTTTAAAAATCATTTTCCTTGCTTCTTTCTAAGGAAAAAAAAACTTAATTAAAATGAGTTAATGTTTCAACTCCTAAGCTCCATCTCCAACTGCAAGTGGTTGTAGTCAGCCCTCATTAAACATACAAGAGGTACCTTTATACAAAAAGCAAGATTTTATTGCATTAATCTCATTTTAATATCATATGTAACTAGTATTTGTCTTTGCTTAACTCTCTCTTTTGAACATCCACACACTGGCTGCTTGGCTGTATCTTTCCATCACTCCTCCCACATTTTGGAAATAGTAAGAGGGGGCTGCTCAGTGATTGAAAAGGTTACTGGAATACTGAGCAAAATAACTGCTCCCCAAAATGCTTCTAACTCCAACCCTTTATAAAGCACACTGTATATAGAAAGTGTTTGTCCTAAAAGGTACAAATTAAAAAATATGGATTATCATTTGTAACAAAACTTAAAAAGGGTCGATTGAAAAAAAATCAATGAATTATAGTAAGGAAAACAGTAAGGAATTTCCATGCAGAAAATGTATCTATAGTACATCACACACACACACACACACACTTCCAATTATTTATTTTTGTGCAAATAAAGTAAGAAAACACAGTTGCTTATTTACCTGCACTTTTGTTTAAAATAAAAACTGATAAAATAATTTTGTAAAGATACAAGACAAAGTAAAACTTTTGAAAAATAGATACTTAATTTCAACAATTAATATTGTAAAACTACATTTAAAAAAATAAAACCAGCTGGAGTAAACAGTCAAATTAATAAAATATTTTCTTTAAAAAGTGGCCAAGACATTGATTTCTTTTACTAATAAGAGAGCAATATTACCATTTTTCACCCTAGGGTGGATAAAAATTATCTTAAAAGTGGAAGAAAACTTAGGCTACAACGCCAGTGTATAAAATAAAAAGACACCAGTGAGAGGAAAACAGGGCACCAGCCTCAAGCACTATACACTGTAGGCAGCTATTCTCACAAGACCAGCCATCAATAGCTGAGTGTCTCAAAATACACTGCTAGTATTGAACAGATGCTTCTATGGTGTAGCCACTTCTAAGAATTTTGGGCTTTATTGGCTGAACAGGTCTGCTTGGTGCTCCTTGCCTTCCTTCTCAGATGGCAATACATAGCAACTGTTGCTCCCATGCTCGTGAAAATGGGTGTTAGTTGTGGTTGCACAGAACAGCTTTATCTACTTTCACTTATCCACCTTTCATCATATTTTCATGTGTTGCACCGAATTAACAGAAATGAAAGAGACTAACTCTGGCCATCATCCTCACTTTCTAAGATGGCATGAAGCCATTTTCCATAGCAATACACAGGTGAGCTCACGGTGTCTCTCTCTCTTTTTCTCTTTGCAGCACAACTGGACCCTATCCCTACTTACAGTCCTGAAGGGAGACCAGAAGTGAACAGACAAGACCAGGTTGTTCAAAGAAGGAGAAATCACAGCACCCTCTCATTCATTAGTATACACATGATCTCTGTCTTCTGTTGTGTAGTATCTCTCAATGAAGATAGTGAAGCCAACTGGTATTTATATTCACTCTATTATTTATATAGATCAACATGAAGGACAAGCATGCATACAACACTCCTTCTCTCTATCTTTGGATGGCATGAGGGGAGAACTAGGTAAGAATTTTTAGATAAAACTCCTATTTGTACACCACCCAGAAAAAAGCTTTATATAAGTCAATAACAGGATGAGAGGGGCTGTTTCCTCATACGTGCTGCATTTTCAGAGGACAGGCAGATCTCTCTGCTACCAGTCATCCCATTATTGTTTACAGCTCTGTTATTGAAAGTCACAGATATTTTCATCGTCTCTCGACAGTTCCTTGGATAAAGCTGTACTAAGAAAAGGAAGACTGTGATTACGTGAAGCTCGCCTCTCCCACCTTGGTCCAGCACAACCGCCTTACAAAGCACGGCCGATTGCTCAACTGACTTGCTCTAGCTGCAGAAGAAAAGATGCTATGCACTACTGACCCACAGGAAAACAGATACGCTCACCGCCAAAATGGCAGGCCTTACCTCCAACACGGTACATATTCGCGGCCATACGGAGAGAGAAGAAAAGGCCGAAGGGAGACGACTACTGCCTCTCGAAGCAAGATCCGCTGGAAAATGGAGACCGAAAGACAAGGAGGCGACAAGACGAGGAGCGGAAATGGGACGGGGCGGATGTAAGACAGAGAACCGGAGGTAGCTGTACGTAAACCCAGTCGAACTCAGACCGGCTGTGGACGAGCGCTGCCTCCCCGGTGTTTCCTCGAGAGACCGGAAGGAGACCCAGACTGCGCGCGCATCTGCTGCCCCCTCCCCTCCACCCCGTGTACCGCGTTTGTTAAAATAACGGCTCGCTGGGTAGTTTCGCACCTTTTCTTGAAGCGTAGTGTGTCTTTGGGGCGGTCTTAGTGTGGTATGCGAATCTAGCCAAAGTTAATATGCTTTTATCTAAATGTCAGCACTTTAGTGTGGCTGATAGCTTGGATCGTTTTTATTATCTCTGGAACTTTAAACACCTATTGCCAAGAAGCAACAGCGGCAGAGGGCTACTGCCCTCCCGTCCATCTTCGTGGCGTTTGTGAATGCAGTTGATTGGCCCCTGTGGAACACAAATGCTGAACCAGCTGCGCTCTTGTTGGAGGTTTAAGTATTTTGTGTGTGCGTTTGAGTGTTCCTGAGGGCGGGATTCACGAATGGCTAATGAGGCAGGTTTTATAACTAACAAAGCTCTGTTTACAAGACAGATATTACAGGGATAGACAAGAAGGCAGTTCAAGAGCATGTGTTTTGTGCGAGTATGCCTGGGAAAGAGAGGCAGACGGAAGTGACCTCATATTAGCAATTCCTTAAAGAGGAGACAGAGGTGACATAAAGTAAACCGTTAACTATCTACACGCCACTGCCCTCTTGTAGTCTTTCGGTCATAGGGAGTTGAAGTCAATCCTACTGTATTAGATTTGGATCCCCAGCACCCTTGGCCTGATCTGGCAGGGGTCTTTTGTTTTCAGTTCTTTTCCCTGAGTCTGTGAGGGACATCTCTTGAACGTGCAAGAAATCTATTGATTTATACCAGGTTCTTTTTTTATCACTGGCAACTGAAAATTACTGGGATTCTTAAAAAAATGTATAGGAGTTTTCAGTCAAAAACTGTTTCAAAAGAAGGTCCTTCTGAGGAAGAAGGAGAAGGAATCCCTTTGCATGCCATTTTTAGCTTCTAAATGACAGATGAGTCACAAATCAAACAAATATCACAATGAACTGAATTAATTTCCCTTGGGGAAATTAAGAAAGTCTACCCAACTGGATATGCTGTGTATGTATTTGTAATAGACGGTAAAACAAGGCTTTTTAGGAAACAACGGCTTTACCATTGGAGCCCATATCTGCATTAAAACCATCAGTTAGAATCAACAGTTTGGGTATAGAAAGAACATTTCCATTAATCCTCAAATAGATCTCAGATGTCACTCTTAGGTCTACAAGGAGGGAAATATACATTCACTGATAAATAGCTGTAGTTCCCAGTTTTCAAGTCAATAGCAACAGCCAGTTTTAGAGAAAATTGCGTGGAGATTCAATGAAATTAGAAAACTAATATCCCATAAGGATTCCTGCCTTTCAGGTTAAAGATTAATCAGATAGAAAAGGATGGAAATTCATCTATCACCAAGGAGTCTTGTTCTTAGGTTTCCTGCAAGAAAATAATATTAAATGGGTGAAGGGAGTGAAAAATGGGTGAAGGGAGGGTCACTCAATTTGTGATGTCAACCTGCAATCATCCATGAGACCATCCAAATTTCATGTGGATTACCCAAGAGTAATCAAGAATTACGTATATCCAGCATTGGCACAGAGTGGTCCACAGTAGAAGAGATGGAATAAGTTAGTTCTTTTAATGCTTCTGATAAAATTGAGGAGTACATCACTGCATGAATAATTCAGTTCTTAAATGAAGATTGGGTTTGACAGATAACCAGCTGCGTCAGATGAACATTTGAAAATGGATCCTGGGACACAAGTTTCTTTGGACATCCAGTACTGTCATTAATACCATTTGGAGCTCATTCTCTGACTGCTGGGTTTGATAGAATTCTGCAAAACAGCATCGTTAGAAATGTTCCTTTGGCCAGTTCAATACTGCTATACTATACTTAAAAAGTATATACTATTCAATACTATTCAATACTATTACACTTTAAAAAGGCAATCAAATGTCAATTTAGTACTTTTTAGGACTAATAATAAATTCAGAGGTTGACAAAAACAGCCAAAATAAGAACATTAACAAAAATTTCTAAGAAATCTGAAGCAGTACACCTTTAATTTTAAGAGCAATCAGACAAAATCTAATGTTTTAAAACTTAGGTTGAACAAAATCCAAACTTCAGATTTGACAGAAGGCTATGTACAGAAATATAGTCCATAAAGTTAATTAAGTTAAAATTAGCATCAGGCATCCATTTTAGGTATGAAGCTATTTTTGACATTGATGCATACTCCCAAAACTTAATCTGGCAGCTCTCTAATGAAGGAATTGGATGTAATTTCCGGTGAGAAACATAGAATATTCCAGCAATGGATCTCATCTATAAGGCCAACTCAATATACTTTATAGGAATGTAAAGCCTGGTGATAACTTAGAAACATCTAGTAGAAAAGAAAAATCAATATTTAGAATTTGTGTCATCCTATGATGAATCTTCCAAAATTGCTGAGGTTTGTGACATGGAAAACAATCCAGCCTGATATGGATGAATGATTTAGCCTTTACATTTCCAGCAGTTTTTTGAATATATATTATTAATTTTGATGGTCAACACTAGAGTAGTATGCCATCAAAAAAACTTGTACCAATTTTTTTCTGAGTGTAATATTCACAATAAATGTAATAACAAAGTGCCCATTGTTGCATATCAATCGCCCTGTTTAAATTCTGCATCCATTTAAACATGCAGTCTTTAACTTCTTCAGTTTCTGAATCATATTTCAGGAATGACTTATATAAAAACTGTAACAGATGTTCTGAATTTTGTTTTATTAGCCTTTCAAATTCAGTCTACGTGACCTTGTTTTTGTAGTTCCATATGAACTATATCACTTATTTGAAAGTACTGAAATCAATGAGGTATTTCTGACCATTCCAAAGAAAGAGTCCTGAAAGATTTCATCTGTGCTTTTTTAGAAGTTAAATTTTGCAAATCTTACAAACTGTTAACTCTCTATTTATCTTTTCTTTTTTTTAGCATATTCGTCTTCATATTTAATGTTGAAGCAAGGGGGGCTTATTTTTTTATATATTTGTCTTGTAAGGTTCGTAACCCTGAATCTCAGAGAAATCCAATGCCAAGAATTCAGGAGGAGGCTCTTAGAAAAAAAACAGCTTTTTATTCGGCCGAGTAAAGGAAGCTGGGTGGTCAATAACCCAAAGCATAGGCGACAACTATGCCAGGGTTTTGCCACCCCACTGGAAATGCAAGCTCAGTTTTTATAGTTTACAGGGACAAAGCAGTTTGAACAGCAGTTTGAATAGCAGTTTGAACCAGTTTAGCTGTAGACCTTTTCCTGAATACCCTCAAGGTATCCTGCGTACGTGTCCCTCCCGCTTCGAGCTAATGGTGTCTTTCTAGCTAGGCTGCAAAGACAACCCCCCCCCCCTTTCAGTCTCAGACTTTTAATAAGCTGATTATAATTGCACTGTATGGTCTATCATTCACTTAATGTATATCATTATAATTATATAAATGAGACATAAATTGATTAAGTAAATAAATAATTAAAATAAAAATAATACTTCTATTTGTATCAGATGAGAGATACTTATGCAGACCTTCTAAAGTCCTGCTCCTTCCATAGAAGTAATCTAATCTTTAGTGTTATAATCATTGGAGTATATCCAGGTCAAACAATTAGCTTGATAGTGTAGGGAGCGTTAACGGCCTGTTGCTTCTTTGCTTCTGTACCTCAAGCTTTTGCTGAC